GAATTTGTATCTATACTGAACTTTCAGTTCCACCTAAAATCGGAGTAACATTAGAATCGATCTGGAGTTGATCCTAAACAGATTCGATAGAAGTGTGTATTTGAGCGTTGCAGCAAGTTACGGTTGTGTTCTGTGGCCTTCATCACTGTTGTGCCAGGCAACGTGGTGTGTGGCGCACTCTTTCTACACAAGTGGTGCCCGCTTCTCCCCTCTCTGTCTCACTCCTCCTCGTACACATGGAAATCTAAAAGGGAAAGAGAATTTCGCCAGCACTGTATGCAAGTAGTTGAACTATGATTTACTATTGCATATGTTACCGGCAATCTGTATAGTCCGGTATTCTATATATATAATAATAATAATGTATCGAATACCTAAAACGTGTAGGTAATGTATGAAATATTATTTGCTTTATACTTTGCCTAGGTATTATATACAATCTCGAATGCGCAGCCGGTAATGTATGCAAAAGACGAGAACAAGGAAGATTTTGTGCACTCCAAAATGACACAATAGTGCCTCATGTAAAAATAAGTAATTTTTTCACTTACTCAATTAAAATTTTGACTAGGCAGTAAACCTACTTATTATTTTCAGAGGATTGTTTTGTTTCTTAAGTACATGGAAGAATATTTTTTTATTCTATTAAAATTTTGACTAAGCAGTAGACCTACACTGCCAATATTTTTACAGAACTGTTTTGTTTCTTAGTTTTTATACGTATCACGGAAGTACTTGTAAGCAAAGAAAATTATTATGTTACTTATAGCCAGAATAATTTTTAGTTTCACGTTAATTTTACTGTAGTAACAGAAATGTGCTTTTTTACCCTTTTCATAAAGATTAATTTTAAAGAGCACTTTAAGTGTTAAATTTAATAAAGTTAATTTTTTTTTTAAATATTATAACTTGTTTCATTTGCCCGTCATTTTATAGGTATGCCGGTTAACATTGTTGAATTTAGACCACGATCTATTTATTTTACACATTGCCGGTGGAACAGCAGGTACTCTATAAACTCCCTAGGAATTGTATTCATTATCTGTTGTGTGCAACATGCACACAATCTGGCCCGCCTATGAGATCCGCCGGGTGGTACCTCCGCGTTCGACAGTCAGAGACCGTCTACCACCTACGGAATATGAAGAAGAAGAAACGAGAAGAAAACGGAAGTCCATGAATTTTCGATAAATGGATAATAATATTCATAATATTTCATACATTGTCTGGGGAACCCAGGTATTCGATACATTGCCTAGGTATTGTATATAATATCTGAATTATACAGATTACCGGTAACATATACATTGTATACGTGAATATCGAGACGTATATCTATATTCACACCATTGTATACGTGTATATACAATGCGCCCATCACTGCCTATGGCGGAATGGTACAACGTCCATCATTCCGTCAATAGCATAGACATAGAGCATACAGCTTAAGCCTTAGAAGCTATGAATGCTCCCCCACTAGCCCCATATCTGAAGCATATATTACATCACTTTAGAGCCAAACCATATAAGACGCAATTCGCACACACACTACAGGTGAATCTAAAGTGAATGATAACTAGTTCTAAGGTGACATTTTTTCGGCATAACCTACATCATGTCATTAAAAATCGATATGTAGTGTCACACCTTTAAAAATTACGCACTACGGTACCCGTATTACGTAGCTTGAAAAGTAACATTATATAGGTTTTTTGTGGCATTGGGCAGGTTTCTTTGACGTTATATAGATTTATTTATGAAATGTCACCCTCGAACTAGCTGAGATTTACTTCATTAATACTTGTAGTAGACACGGAATTAACTAGCCGCTATCTAGTGCATATGTTAACATTTTACCAATTTTTTTGGAAATCATATAGTTTTTTTACGTAATACATGTGCGAGTGCCGATATGATAATTTAGACAGTACCATGATAACTTGAAATGCGACATCGACATTTACTTCAGCGGCTGAAATTCATTTAGAATCAGGCTTCCCACTATTAATCATCTATAACACATTAACTTCACTTCATATGTTCTTCAACTATGTAAATTGAGTTCTACCTCAACTTGAAACCACCATCCGACATCCAACTGGCTTGATTGATTATTGGTAACGATGAGATGTTCTTCAATCCAGCTCCGTGATTCGGAAAAGTGCAGTTAATTAATTAAAAGGAACATGAGCATAAGCAGGTTGTTTTACCGGGTGTCCCAATTCATCATTAAACGCATTGTCTTCTATTCGCAGAGTATTTCCAAAGAGTTTATATTACAGATAATAATGTATACCAACAACCCGTTGTTAATACTTCTTTTGGGTAACTTCACAGATGAGGATACTCCAAATGTACTGTGTAAATTACCAAACATGTTAACAGTAAAAGAAGCTTTGGGGTCCGTGATGCGGCGCACATATTTTTCACGCCTTTGAAGAAAATTTTTAGATATTCCCTCAGTACAGAAAGTGTTCCTACAAAATGGAAACGGGCTAGAGTGTGCCCAATTTTTAAAGCTGGGGACCCTAGTAATATCAAAAATTACCGAGCTATATCTATATTGGATAATTTTGGCAAGGCATTTGAGATATCTGTATACAATTATATCTATCCTCTGACTTCGCATCTGATATCTGAGTCGCAGCATGGATTTATGCGTATTCGGTCTACTATTTCTGACTTAAGCGAAATCACCCAGGAAACTGCAGAGGTCTTAGATAATAGAGGTCAGATGGATGTGGTTGAATACGGATTTCTCAAAGGCCTTCGATAAGATTAGTCACCAAAGAATCATAGGTAAACTTCAGAATTCTGGTTCTAGCGATTATTTATTAGATTTCGTTACATCTTACTTGCATGATAGATCTTTTACAATGGTTCTCGGCCTTATTCAGTGCACTGCAGGGATCAAATTTAGACCCTCTGCTTTTTCTTCATTTTATCAATGTCCTCCCTAACTGTTTAACCTGTCGAAAATGGTTGTGTGCTAATATTTACGGACCCAGATCTCACTTGACTTTCGAGACGCTCTGTATTTTGTCGAAACGAACAAGCGCCGTTATGGCGCGTAATCGGATTTTCTGTGACGAGTCAGTCTTTCCTTCCAAACTGGACAGACAACAAACAGACCGCACTCATTAACTCGCTTATTAAAACTTCAAGGAAGCAGCTTAATCATTGGAAGTCCTCTAACTATTAATATTTTGATTAGTCACTATTAAGGCTATTAAATATATCAACTATTAATAGGTGGTCAACCAGGGCGACTACATGCATATCAAAGTTAAGGAACGAGTCTCTTCGGCATTAATATCAGGTTAAGTATGTTGACTCAGGATATCAAACAAGTAATGTAAGTTCTATCAATATATTTTGCATGATTTTTTTTATTTTGTGGCTTTATTAATTTATCATTCAGAGTAAACAGGATGTCTAGAATAACGCCGGACGACAAGATGTCTACCCATAAACCACAGCACGTTCTGCTCTAGTACTCTAGATATCTCAACCTTAATGTGCAAATATATTTGAGGTTATGTTGCATGTCGAATTTTTCAAAAAATCGTAGAAATCGTGTCAAAGTACATGCCTTGCCCTTTCAAATGCCGTTGAGTTTTCTTAAATATCTTTTTTCCGTTGAAATATGGCACTTTGAAAATTTCATTTTTCTTAATTTCACTATACACGTCTACCCTACGCGTTATGATCATGTGCGCATTAAAATTGTAGTGATTACGGTGCATCAAAAACTAAATAATAAGTTAAAGTATTTTCATGAAATAGGTCCTGCCAAATGAAAACTCATAAACGCTCAACCCAATCCATAAAATATCGAAAATCTATCCAAGCAATCAGCTCACAATTCCAGTTGCCCTCCAAGGTTGAGTTTAACAATCCTACTTCTAATTGGACAGTTTTATTTAAATAAAATCTTCCGATGAAAGCTGAACCAATATAGATCAGAAAAATGCAACTATCAAAGTATCATACAGAGAAATCCGTATACCACAGACGTCGTAATGCCTGCAATACGTATGTTAGAAAGCACCACGCTTCTCTCTCGTACACATTACCCCGTCAGTGATATTTAGATTTCTCTAACAAATCTATCATATTTATGTTTCAACTGTAAATATATGAGAATATGAATAAGAATTATATCTAACAGGTGTGTGGTATTACTGAGATCGGGGTAATCTTAATAATAAAAAGTCTTAAAAATACCAAGCATACAACATTTACAAACAACCCCCACTCTCTTCAACCTCCAACCCAATTATTGCACTTCTTCGAAGATTCTTAATTGAAACTGGGTAGGCATTCCTAAAACGTCAAAAACCGATGTTTTTGAGTCTCTCGGTTTTTCGTCTTTACGTTTTTTAAAGCTCATAAAGCTATTTTGTCCGTGACCCAGTATGGGGGGATCAAGGACTGGCGGACGGACAAATCGAAAAAAGCGAGCTAACTTCTCGTGATGTACATATCATAGAATTTTGGGTGAAGACTTTTAAATGTGGACAATACTTCCAACATAGCAAATTTTAGTTCATTCAAATTGATGGTTTTAAAGATATTAAATAAAATGTTGTTTATTTTCAAATTTCAACGTTTCCTTTTAATGAAGCCCCCGAGGAAAACATGTTACATAGAACTCCCCCCTTGAAATACGGTCCTGTGTGTGATGTTTGATTTTTGGTCACGACTTGTGAATCACTCTGTATACCGTTCAGAACATTGTGTGTGATTACAATAAGTCCTAGCAAATTGGCATGAGACATAAAAGGACGTCATTGTTTCTTTACAGAATTACGTCACTTTTAGACTAGTGTCTTTATAAATTAGCCTGGCAGCCCTAAAATGATTAGATGAATAGATTTGGTTAATTCAGTATTATATAACACCGGCCGCTCTAATCATCTAGTAGGCTTAACCCCGTTCCGTATACGTATACATCAATACCTTTCTATGCAATGCCACCTTGATCTGGTCTGCAAAAAATGAGACAGCAAGCGTCCCTTTTTAAAATTGATCAGGCGCGAGTGAGAAAGCAAGTGACCGGTATTAATTCGAACGGTGGGAGACTGTAAACAATTCCGGTACAGGGCACTTTTTTTATTTGGAAGTTTCAGAGTATTTCGGCATTTTAATATCGGAAAACTCGTGGTAATTTGTCGGTCGCTTTGACTGTGTGTGTGTGTGTGTTTTGAACATTTGGTGAACATTGTAGCAAGTTCCTGGACGATTTCTTTGGATACCTTTGAAAGAATTGAGGTTAGGATTGATAACTTTCGCCTATATCATACAGAGGTACGTTTTCCTGTGGGGTTATGTGTACGTTTTCTTTTTTCTGCACATCGATAGTTAGTTATTTTCAATTGATGGTGTTGTAACCAGTCAAAATATCCTAACTTCAAAGTGATTAAATCTTAAATCCGTGGGTTGATGGTAAAGATATACCAGATACAAACATTTTTTAATGACCTAATACCGTTTAAATCTGTTGCAGGTACCCTGTATGCAGCTGTCGGTGAGTCTTTTTGACACATATATGTATTATAACGTACAAATTAAATACGTGTGGATCGTGGGTGATTGATTGCACTGAGGAATTATCACTCGCGTCCCTATTTCTCTTATAATCGCCAAATGATGTTAGAGAAATACTTCAGTAACTTTTGTAGACTAACTTTTATTGAGACATCAGCAACAGTTGAGAACAGAAGAACAAGTAACGAAATGAGTACAGAGAATAGTCAAAGACCCTTTTTATATTATAAGATTACACTTACGAATTTTCCAGAAATCAGTAGTCTCCCGTAAAAATGCAAACATCACATCCTGTCTCACGAGTATGGGACGGTGTTATACTCGTAGGCACTTAGATGTAGATTGTAGATGTTGTTAATGCTTTAAGGATACATGACTTACATTATATTGCAAACATTGTGAAAGCGAAATACCTATACGTTCTTCAAATTATTTGTTATTAGATATTTTATGCGCCAAACTAAACTAGTTCATTCAGCATTGCGGTATTTTTAGTACCGACTTGCTTAGCTACATCCTAGATTTTATTTTTAACATTATGTTTATCTACGACTGGGCGGTAATCTGTACTTAAGAATAGGTTTTTTGGGCATCTTACTTTCTAGCCGATTAATATGGCGACCAGGCCTGCATTTTTAGTGCGGTCAACTTATTTTAAATTTTAATTTTCTCAAAAATCTAATTGTGTATGTTGTTGTGACATTTCAGCTATAGTTTTGACAGAATCCTCAAAAATAATCATGACAATCTGATAGAAGTACTTCTCCATTGCGTTTCTGTGATTCATTTGGATCAGCAGTATTGCAAACCTTCCAGGAGACCTGCAGTTAATACAATAAGTGCGATAAGCAAGATAATGTACTAGTGATCATTAGACTCAAGAAGAATGCTTGCGTATAACGTGTTACTTTTCACATATGGTTATTTGCAAGTTATCGGCAGTTTTCGATAGATAAAAAATACCGTATACGTTGATAGATGGATCTATCTCTAGATTTTATTTATAAAATATGAAACTTGTAAGCATTATAGCAAACTTTTGATACTGAAGTCGAGTTGCCATCAGGTTGCTTTTGACGTATGCTCTAGCTCTAGAAACATAAATTATTATTATGATGCTGTATGACATTGTCCTTTTATAGAGGATCAATGCAGATTCAGCAACATATTCATCGTATTTCTTCATATATTAGACAGCTGCAGCTTCAAAATCACCTTATCCTCCGTTACGAATCAGACCACGGTAACTTTGGCTGCATTTCGTCATATTGAGTAGTTTAAGTTGTCTTCTCTTTTCCATAGAGAGCAAAATCAGTGACTGAAATGCAAGACGCATGAGTTATAAGATGGATGCCTCGAGATCGCTTTATAAAAAGTTTATTTTCGAAAATACTAAACTCAAAAAATGTACTTTTACAAAATTATTATGATGTCAACAGTGCAAAGGCTTAAATCTCACTGACTATAACATGTATTGAGAACAATAAAGTAAACTCTAGGTCTTCTACGAAATTAGTAGCATCGTCGACAGTATTCCTGGCATATCAGCAGGAGGCTGATATAACTCATGAGTGGCGGTGGCACCTGCACGAATGTTTTTGTTAAAAAAATATTACGTTGCATTTTTTTTCGATTTTGTTCACAGGAAAAAATTATTACATATTATCTGGTGTCCTAGGAGACCATAATTTTCTTGTTATTTTTATTGTAATTTTTGCTGCCAACAGCTGTCAAGTTTTGCCGCGGGTAAACCCGAAAAAATTGCTGACAGATGCTGGGTGCTGTCATATAATTTTTCAATCTAGAAACCATTTGTAATTCAAAATCGCGCGTTTGTGATCGGTAGAAGTTAAGACGAGGGAAATAGTCACATACAATTTTAGATCTGCACTAATATTTGTTAACAAGTTACGGTTGAGGAATAAATGCACAAAAATGCTTTTATTTTATTTTGTCATCTTCATACTCACCATGAAATAATCAAATGACAAGGGTTTATAGTACTGGTACAAACAGGTAGTTAAAAAGCGAAAAAATGGACGTATGACCTGAAAGGAATCATATTGCTTATCCAATATGACCAGGATCCTAAATTTGTTCGTTCATGTAGACGTGAATTTATGTCGCAGTAATTTTAGGAACATATACTTTTATTTTTTGGCGTATGTGGCTGTTGGTACTTATCGTTAGCGTTGTTTGCCCATTATGCCATTGCTTTGGCTATTGTTATTAATTTGTGACAATTTTGTGTATGAATTTTAAAACAATTCTTCTATAGTTCATTTTATAATGGATGAAACATGAAATTTTTTACTTTGGCGTAGAAGGTCAGAAATTGCTAAAAAAGGAAATAATTGATCAATTCGGTCGATCGGTATTTGTGAGATTTTCAAGTGAAGAAGTCAGCATTTAATGATTTTGTCCAAGAAATGAGACTTAAGGATGAGAATTCTATCATAGGAACGATGAGATAATACAAACACACACCACAAATACAGAAAAGTGTCACGGAAATAAAAAAGATAGTGAAGTCGCTCCAAAGCAAGCGAAAATGAAGTAAGCAAACCAAACAATTTTGGATTGTGCATACGTCAACCTCAGGTTTGAAATAATAAGCAGTCTCGTGTCATGTCACTAAACTGGGCAATAGGAGTATTATTTGTTTTATTCGCAATCGCGATTCGCCGTCTATATGAACTAGGATTAAACTGGCACACTCCTGTGTACCACAATGCACAATGCATTTTCCTCTTCGAAATTCCTCAATTGCATTGTTTCCGCATGGCAGCGACTTCACGCTGCCGTACAGTTTCTCTTGACACAGCTCGTCATGGCTTGCGGGTTTGGGTCTCGACCAGGATCCCTCGGGAGGCTGCTTTATGAAAGTGATCCCACGGGAGCGTTGTGTTCGCTAGGCAGACTTACGATGCGATACCTAACCAAGCTTGCGGTAAGTTTGCAGTCTTGCCAAAAAATGTGTTTGGTCGGGTAGTTGTAAATTTCAAAACGAAAATGATTTACAATTTTCCTTATGCGTCATTTAGGCAGAAAATATTGGAACTACTGACGTTTTAATGTACGGGATTTCAATTAACTACACTGCGAAAATGTGTATAAGATCACATTATCTGTCATCTGAATGTTTCCCTAAGATATCATGTTTCTTTGTGTTTACAATAACGGCACCATAAATTCACATAATGATGTGATAATACAGCTTTTATGTATCATATTCAATACGTAAACGATTATTTTCACATGGTAACAGGTGTAATACAGAAAAGTTACAGCGTACTTTTCATCGTATACAGTCAAGTTACACAAATGTTCAAGTTACGGGGTTAGATGGTGGAATAGCAGGTGCTAAATTTCGCCCGATGTAATGTACCCTTGCTATGGTCAATAAAAACGATTATTATTATCATTAAATAATGTGAATCAAATAAATTTTAAATTCTTTTGTGCAAAATCCCGTGACATAATATGGAAGTGCAAATGACTACAGTATATTCAGATAAGAGATAGACCGGACATAAACAAGACCACGTGATCATCGAACGCTGTAACATTCGGCAGGGACGTATTAAGAGTCACGCAGTACATATTTTAGATAGTAGATGCTGCTTTGCGTAACTTTGTAGTAAATTAGCACAATTCGATGTGTATACGATTGGTGATGGATATAGGATCATGTGGGGGTGGGGTAAGAAATATATAATGATGTAAATATACATAAGGGTTTCAAAATTTTCGCTTCGATTTCCAGCTTCGGATGCCGCCTGATGTTTTGTGAAATACAGTCGAATATAATCTCAAAATGGCGTTTAAATTAGCCTAAATTAAAAATAATCGTATATCTCTTAAAATTGCTTTTAGAATATCGATTAGTATATTTTTTGATTTCTAGGTAAATATGTAACCAAATTAAAACGTTCAAAACGTAAAAAAATGTGCATGGTTGAACATTGTCAGAAAGTAGATTCTTGAATAGGTTTTGCCAAAATGGGTTCAAAAATGTCAATAATTAATTAAAAAATACAGTAGCTTTATAATTGCTTATAACTTACCGAATTTGATGAACGACATCTTTTATTGGAAAGATGAGCTTGATGAGCTTTCATCATCGCTACTGCCTGAAGCACCAACGTCAATAATGAATGGCTCGACTTGTTCCTCTAAAATATTGTCCAGTTCCCACATTCTCTTTTCAACTTTGTCTTTCACGTGCTTAATACAGTTTTCCCATTTTTGCGCTGTTATTAATTCTAGTGCTTCTTTGAAAAGTCCTTTGAGGTCACAAAATTTAAAAGTTGTATTGTGCTTAGCTATATAATTTTTAACCTCTGCCCATATGAGCTCAATGGGATTGAGCTCGCAATGGTATGGAGGTAAACGGAGCACAGTTTTATTTTGACTTGCTGCCATTTCGTCAATGGCGTATTTTTGATATTCCGCCTTGTGATCCTCTTGACAATTCTTAATAATTGTACTTTCAGCATTGCTTCTTCAAAGTTGATATTTTTCGAGCGGAGCCAATTTTGAACATCAACTTTCCTTGAAGCCGCTGTTGGGAGCTTCTCCATTCTTCGAGAATGATAAGGCGCATTATCCAACACAATTACTGCGTTTTCCTCTAAGTTCGGTAAAATTTTTGAAAACCACTGTTCAAACGATTCGCCATTCATTTCCTCGTGGTAATCTCCAGTTTTCTTAGACTCAAAGCACCACAGACCGTCAACAACAAATCCATCCTCACTGCCAATATGGCAGATAATGAGCCTTTTCCCTTTACCTGGAAATCGAAGTACTAACTGGCGTAGATTTATTTCAATAAGCGAACCTTTTTCAAATGTTTTCATCACATTCAGCGAAAAAACATTGAGACATGAGTATCAGATTGCTATAATTGGGATTATTTAGTCATATTGAAAGAAAGAATATTGAACGTCGTATGATTACTCAGCGCTTCACAATTTAATTTAAAGTTATAAACCTTTAAAAAATGAATGATCAGGAACCTGAAATACGCGCAAATATTAATATTAACAAATTATAACTTTATAAAGCTTAAAGTATGAATTAAAATGATTAGAAATATTAGGAACGATACACAATATAAAACTTAGTAACTTCTTTTAAGTTTATAATATTCGACATATTTTAAGATTATATTAAAAAATTATTGAAATATCGAAAAAACATAAAAACATGGCTTAAAAAAGTTCTAACAAATGAAAATGACAATAAAACATCCACGCATTTTATCGAAAGTTATAAAAGTTTTGTTACTTGTAA